TAATATAAAAATATATACGATATATACAATATATATATATATAATATATACAAAAAAATAAGTATTTTGTTTAGCTTAAATTTAAAAATAAAATGAGATTTTAATATTTAATTAACTCTACATTACATTCTATACTTCAAATAAAGTAATTTAAAAAACAAAAAAGCCATAAAAAAAGTGTGATGATGAGAAACATTTGATTAGTAATATCTTTCTAAATTCCCTAATTATTAAATTGGCGATAAATATCTAGATATTATCCAAAGTCTTTAGTCAACACACTTTCCTCTCTTCACGTTGGAAATGGTTGAAAAGCATTGGATATTGGATTTTTTTAGCGCTTCAGATTGGCAACATTGGTTACCGTCACCCTGCTTTAGCACGTCTCTACTTTCTAGTATTTCTAACCATAAAGAAACATGGCACTTATTTCCTCAAGGGTGATGTTTAATCCCGGTAAGTGTAAAATACCTAATACAAAACATGTTCACGATAGCAACAGAATTTTAAGGCGAATTTTCGCCGATCGTTTTAGCATTTTTTTCTACTGAAATGTTTAAACCGATTATTATATACGATTGTCATTGCAGGAGAGATAAGGTTAAGTGCCGATAGTAATAAAATGCTTGTTTTTCATCACGCAAATCTTTCTGTTTCAGTGTTAAAACAAACTCTCAAGCAAATTATCTTCGCAAAGCAACTGCTAAAATGTGTAAGTGGATGGTTGTCATGAACAATCCCTTAATTCTTTGGATTTGTGGTCAACAATGGCGATTCTCAATAATCGCATAATGCTAACACTATTTCTTCTCTTTTTCATAATGTTGATTCTATAATAAGTTGATAGTTGGAAATCTTAAGTATTAAACAGTCTTAATTTAAATAGATGATTTTTAACAAGTTAATTGTAGAACAAATTGTTTAACTCGACTAATATAATAGAAAGGAAAAAAGTTGAATTTGGCCAGTCTTAAAAAAATTGGTAGTCTTATGCCCATATTCATATCGGACGTGGACTTCCTTAAATTTATCTTTAGATGCTCAGCAACCAATGAAATAATTCGTAGAATATATAAAGATAAATTTAAGAATGCCTTAAATATAAGGCCTGACTATAAATACGAGTATTAGAGTACTATTTCATTTATGTGTTTTTGTCATATAACAATGTGTACAGGATAGTGAGTCCTGGATCTCTCTATTCCATAATCAATCAACAGCCTCGAAAAATTTGTGGTACAGCAATCACACAATTATATATTCTGTAATAGGTTATTAGTAATAAATCAGAAGTCAGAAACTAAAAATTGACAAATTAAAGTCAATCAATTACTCTTCTCACATTCGACTATAATAATTTATTGTAGAACCATCATAAGATTTAGGATTCATTACCAACTCATTGTAAGATCAGCTTAAGAACTTTTATACATTAGTTCTTAAATTGTTATTTATGAAATTTTATAAATGAGCACTGCTTTGATCAATAATTTTCAATTTTAATAAAAATCATGTTTTTACATTATATGTTAAAATATGTATGGAATGAGGCATATGGGCCCTTAAAGTGTTATAAGCTGTGTAACATATTTTATGTGTATCATTTTTTAAAAGCAGCTGTGTTTACATCAATTGATTTATTTCATTGTTTTGTGGATAAAGGTGTTAAGATATGTTTATCAAAAAAATAGTATCTACTATACACAAGATATTTAATATTTTATATGCTAGAATAAAGTACTACATTTTGTAATTAATTTTTTAATGTGTACTTTAATACTCTTATACACAGAATAATATAGTGTCATACACAGAATAATCTTTCGACTTCGAAAAATTGATTTTTTTTTGTTTTATCATTATTATCCTCCTTAAAATCATTCAATTTTTGTTTGAACATATTTTTAATTCAATGCATACTTTCAGGGATAATACTTGTAATACTTTAAATGCATCACTCTGTATATAGTTTGATTTTACTAATTTTTTTTATTTTTATATTTCATTAATTTACTGTCTAACATAAATGCGTTCATATATTGGCCATCTTTTGATATATGCTGCCAATATGAACATGTATAGTAATGTATAATAATGTAAATTATAGATTTTAATA